AGTCAATTAGTGTACCTGTTTCTCTTGCCGTTTGTTTTTTACTGGGCAACCTTGATTCCAAATTAGTCAGCATCCGTTGTCTTCCGGGCGATCCATGTCCCAATTTCACCATGTACTTAGTTTGAGCGCCACCAGCGCTTCTATTCCTATTTGCGTCCGAAATGAGGCTTAGAGTTGGGCAATGGGCACTACTTTTTGGGCGGCTAAAAACTCCAAGTCTGACAATACAGGGCTACTAATCCCTACAGCGGTGTGGCCGGCCTTGTTCGAACATGACATGTCCATTACATAAAATACAGGCGCCAGTCACATTGTAATCTCTTTAGGGGATAGAGACTTGAATTTTTGAATTTCTGTTGATAAAAAATTGAGAATGATATAGATAGAAAATTATGAAACCTGACTGATATACAACAACATGGCCAACGACATGACCCGGAAATAAACAAAACTCCTGTGATGGTTACATAGTATGTTCCTTGGAATCTCCAATCCTGTCTTCGAGATTCTAGCAATATTCCAAAAAAAAAAAGACAAAAAAAGGGTTTCCGACAAAAGAAATGTAGCTCGCTGTTCTTCGTTCATTATCGTACTTCTATTCAGGTCGCAGCGGCAGATGGTACTGGTGCTTCTGGTGTTGCTAATGCTGGGGGAGGTGGTGGTGACGATGCATCTTGCTGTTGCTGCTGTTCTTGTTCTTGTTTCAGCTTTTTCCGCTCCTTTGCCTCTGCATCTTCCTTCTTCCACGAGCCCTCGTAATGATGAGTGACAAGAGCATCACCTTGATCCGTCGGATTTCCGTTTTGAAGAGCAGCAAAAGAGACTCCAGGCATGATCAAAACATCACCGACTAGCTTAGGCCGTTTAGTGAGTGCATAATCGCGATCATCCACGGGCCTGCCAAGCAATTGTTCGAGACTATCCATGATCGCGATCGTCATGATCTTAGGTCCCGTCACGTTGACGACGTCCGAAAGCATTTCTAGGGTAATCCCTTCGATGCCTACGGCATTATCTCGGGCAATATTTTTCAAGGTTTTGAGAACAGTGTCCACAATGATTTGAAGATTACGCGAGGACTTCCGCGCGACAAATATCCAGTTGCAGAACTGGGAAGCAACTTCAGTTCCTGGGCCTCGCCATTCAAAGTCGAACTCCAATCCGACAATCATATCAATGTTCTCATTTCGGTATTCCACGGGTACCCACTCGGAAACTTCTTTCTCGCATGAAGTGTCTAAATCTCCCCAGATACCGCCTTCGGCGAGAACAACCAAGTAACGGAAAAGGTCCGCACGTAGGATTGCGATTGGAAGGGCTTCATAGACTTCGACGATATCCGGCCGCGTTTTGAAGTAATGAGCGCGAACAAATGCTTCGGCCGATCGATCGGTCAACAATTCAGAGCGGAGAGCGGGGTTTTTCTTTGTCCAGCTGCCGGTCCATTCACGCTGATTTTCTGATAAATTATCAAATTTGGCGGAATGCCAGACCTTGTCTGGAAGCGTGTAAATGGATGGAGGCGAAGGATGTTCCTTTGGAGGCACTGATGTTGAAATTGAGGCCGCTGTGGTCGTAGCCGTCCCTGAAGAGTACGGTATCGTACTACTGGAGACAGTGGGTATTTGTTTCCACGAGTAAAGATAACAAAATAGCGCAAATGGAATGATAAGGGCACAGTCAAGCGCAAAGAGCGCGAGTTTTTTAAGTTGGTTGACATTGAATGAAGCCTTGAAGGTGACACGAGGGGGTTGCAAAAGAATATAGAAGAGATCCGATCAAAGAAAGCACTTAAAAGAAAGGAGAATCTCGACTCACCTAATACATAGATGTATTACATTAGCACGCGGCAGGATTTTCAAAGTAATTAGGCCCCACTATGATCTGAGTGGATGCGCATATATTATTAGCATGCGGGTTCGTGTGCCTATCGCCAAGGCGATCTAAAATATCAAGTCGGCTAACGGACTGCATTCATTGGACCACGACCCAGTTCACGAATTTAGATTGTTTTAACTCTCTTGATTGGTACCCTGAAAAGATATAACCATAAAATTTTGTACAATATGATATACCTAGTCTCGTTCGCGGCAACTAAGTGGAAATATAGCGTAACTGGTATATATGATGCGTATTATTCCTGCTTGCCCCTTTTTCTCATCTACAAGTTCCCCACGTTCCTTTCCTTGGTATAGGCAAGACTGTCTCTGGAGAGCAATCAAGTCTGAACCAAATATTGTTTGTGTGGTGATCATACCCTTGATCCTGGTCAATCCTTCTTTGAATTATACGTCGACCACTTGGATGTATAGCCATCCTGATCGGTCTCTTTCGAGCTGATAAATACCAAGTTTGAGAGCAAATTCAATGATCCTCATTCTCTTGTCGCGTTTTTGGTCATGCTTTGCGCTTATATTGCTAAGCGGATGCCTTCGGTCCTATGGCGTTTATGGCAAGACTACCGAGTTTGACACGTCGGTGCAAAGTGAGACTGGGTTTATGGGGTGGTATTTGGGTCCTGCAAGCAGTGAGAATACCCTATATAGCAGCACCCTATCCAAGTTTACCCCTAATATGCACGTTACTGACCCTTCTTTCGAAGCCGAGGCGTTGACAGATCCACAAACATGGACTACATCGGGGAACTACGCAGCTGGTTGCAAGGGGAATTCCTGCAGATTTGCTACGAATTGTATCAATAACAATATCACATATGATGATGGCCTCATAGGCTCTTGGTGAGTCATGAAACAAGATCAGTATATTCCAATCCATGAATGCGAAAATTGACTTAAATCCTGTTCTCGTCCATAGTGGCAGCGCTACATGTGTCACTATGACAATCTTCCAAACATTCCCCTACGCAACACGGCGAGTAATATCTTTTGTGGGTTTCGTTGGAAGGCAAACACGATATATCGCGAATTGCAAGCAACCACAACCGAGTCAAGTACTGCATCCCATCATGATCCTTTCAAGGAATAGGATCTATCATAGTACACACCGACTGATCACAATCACAGCCTCCTCTCCAACCCCATCCACCACGACTTTACGAAGCAACCACTCTCCTACAACCACTCCAGCTCCAACAAAGCCTCTATCCACGGCAGACTCGCCAGCCAGTCAATCGCCAACATCTGCTGCGGCTGCAACAAGTTCCAGCAAAGCTTGGATTGCGGGTGTTGTCGTTGGTCCTATTGCAGGCATTGCACTAATTGCGGCTCTTATACTGTGGTGGATCTATCGCCAAAAGCGAAAGCAATCCTTGTCATCCCAAGAGCAACTGTTTATGGGCCACGGTCATCCGCAGTCACTACAGTCCACGGGATATCCGCCACAATATCCCACGGGATACCCGTCACACCACTCGAATGGGTATCCGATGGAAACTTATAAGCAAATGCACGAACTGGGCACTGCCCAGACTCCTCGTTTATATGAGCTAGGCTCGGCTGGTAACAGGTAGGAGAATTGAGATGCGCTTGAACTGGCCGGGTTATTTGATGAGTATAAGCTCCACCATGACGGTGAGCATGGTTTTGGAGTTTAATTTTATTTTTATGACTTGAATGTAGCTTTATGACGTGCCAAGACGTTTGTATAGTGGATGTTAATAGGAGAATAGAAGAGACTATATATTTATGCATGGAGAGAAAGCTGAATTTAATATAATACCTGACTAAGTCGTTCCTTCCATATTTACTGTGCTGCCTGCCAGTCATATCTTGTTGATAGAAAATGGAAGTAGAAACTACGTGATGTACCACCATACCATATCCACTTGTTGTCATTGTCCGTGTCAACATCCACATATGAAGCAAACTTGCTAGCCTTCCCTACACGTTCGATAAATATCTTCAGAAACGACAGAACACAACATTTAGTGCTCGGGCCAGACAAAAAAACACCCCGATTCATTCAGTTTTAGATACTCGCGCAGAAAGCAACGGAGACGAAGCAGCGAACACACAGCGTACCAGAATGAGCACTGCAGACCGAATAAGACCAATAGCTGTATGTGCCTCATATATCTCACCGGGAAAATGCCAAAATGTTTGCTTCCTATCGCAATCTTGCCTAAATTTGTTCACCGGATGATGGAGGGCTAGGGAAAAGTTGTAGGTTGCACTAAAAGAGGGGAACATGAAGTTCCACTATGAAGGTATAAGTATGCATCTCCAAAGCTAATACCACACCAAGCAGTAGGAATTACAAGTCCTGGTTTCTTGTATCAAATATCTTACTGCGTCTTGTTGAATGCCATTAAAAGGTATTCTGGTCACTTTTATGCATCCCTCACTGCCGGATGCATTTTGAGAATTCCAACCTCGAGACTTTAAATCTCAACAAAAGAGCTAAAAGCTATGAAGATGTTTGTTTTGAGCTTCGGAACTGGTCTGCTAGCCTCATTTTCAACCTCATTCATTTTGGAGCAGACTACTCCACCCCTCATGCAGCTATCCATTGCGATGGTGCAAGCCTGCTGCATTGAGTATATACTAGCTTTCTCTTGCAGAAAATTGTCCGGTCAAGGCCACTTGGTATTATGGTAGATATCTATATGTTCATAGAGTTCCGAGGCCCTTCTGTCACAAAATCCATGCATCTGCGGAAAGCGTATAATAACGTAATGTTAGAAGGCGGTACACCCTACGTACACTATGTGTGAGTTCTATAAACCTGATCTGCGATATTCATAGTTCAAATTTCAATCAATCTGACGTTATATGTGCGACACATCTGTGGCTGAGTCCACTAGCTGCAGTCAGAAGGCAAATTCAACCCGGCCACTGGTGAAACAAAAGTCCTGGTGGATATCAATTGATCATTCGTAACTATTTGCTTGCGGGGTCGCTTCGCCATTTCAATTGTATATCAGATTGACTCAACTATAAGAGTAGCATTTTATCTCCCCTCTTCTAAACCAACGAAAACCTCAACGGTGTGACAATATTCCACACACAAGTTTGTCTTCCTCGCCGCTCAATACAACAGACATGGCGACTGTAAATCTGTTGGAATACCTTCACTCAAGGACGCAGCTAGATATCGACACATACAATGCTGAAGGTTGTGAATCTTTTGACTTGTTTTGTACAGAGGGCTAATGACGTTTCTCCCATCAGCTTCCAAAGAGATCGGACCATTCCAAGATGCAACAGGAAATCAGGTATGAGAATGAATATCGATGCTCTGTCCTAGCATTTGTTAAACAGAAGGATAGTTTGAGATCCAAGCGGAGATTGTCAAGCCCAACAGAAGCGCACTGGTGAAGAAATCACTAGCGTTGGCGACCACGATCCACCCACAGTTTGCCTCAATTACCCTTGAGGAGCTTGCTGTGGAAGTAGTGGTAGGTATTCAGAAGATTCAATGATGCGAATACCTAAAGTTGACCGGTCTAGGGTATCGAATTCGCCCTCGAAATGATCCAAACTGTTCGTGGAAATGTCCATGTTATGGTCAATCCGAGCTACTCCTACAACACCGAAGCGATGGTTGCAAATGCTCAGCGTAACTGGACATCCCTCAGCCCAACTTTAAAAAAGAGAAATGTTAATTGTAGTTTTCTAGGATTCCATCTCCTCTGCCAAATAATTGACCCTGGTTTTGACACGAGTCGTCTAATTACTAAGGTGCCAGCAACATGGGAGGGACTGCAAGCTGCACGTCAGCTCAAGCGAAGCGGAGTGAAGACTTTGGCTACGACTCTCTTTTCGATGGAGCAGGCGATCCTTGCGGGCGAAGCCGGCTGTACATCGATTTCACCATTTGTGCACGAGCTTAAAACCGAAACTTACGAGGGGTGAGTGAGACAGATGGCATAATACGGGAGTACGGCTAATTCCTTTCCAGATACAAAGACAGCAACCCCATTTTTGGGGTATGCATGCAAGCCCAACAGTTCTACCGCCAGAATTCCATGCCCACCCGAGTGAAAGCCTGTGTGACACTGAACCTCGATGAGATCATAATGCTCGCCGGAATCGATGCACTGACAATAACACCACAAGTTCTGAAAGACTTGGCAGCTACAGAGAGACCCCAAGAGGGAGGTAGAGAGTATGTCCCTGTTCGGGAAACCCGCCAAGGCCACAGAGCCCGTCACATATCCTTCGTACATTGACTGCGAAAGTCAATACCGGATTCATTTTGCCGCGAGTGAGGGTGGAAAAGCGCAGTTCAAGACAGCACAGGTAAGGATGCATTCGTGACTTTTTTTTCTTCCTCTTTTGTTTTTGTGCAGTCGAGACTGAGCCTGACTTATCCCGATCACTAGGCAATTGCTCTGTTTTGTGACGCTCAAACCGCGGTGGAGTTGTACATCAAATCTCAATTGGAGGAATCTTCTTACATCCCAATCAATCTATGAAGTACCATTCTGGCTTTGAGAGCCAACTCTTATTGATGTTTTGTGAATGCTTTGATTGCGCATGCGCATGAATGGGGAATTTCCGAATAATAGCTTCTGTATAGGTCGCTATAATTTATGATACAGATTAGGAAAGACAATTGGGTCAAGAAGCTTGTAGGAATCACCTATTACTCATCTCTACCTAGTGACCTAGCTGGCATCTTAGTAAAATCTACATTAACGCGGTGTTTAGAATTTGTAGCCTTGACCCTGCTATGACAGGGCGGCCAAGAAGGCCTACTAATACAATGCACATGCATGCACGTCACTGATCTAGAATACAGTATTCTTTCAATTGCTACAGTCAATGAGATCAAGATAAAGATGAGAGCTAGACATTATTGGTTAACTAAAATTAATTACTGGTATCCGCTTTACCAAAAGAAAAGGCGGAGTGGTGCGCATGCATGTGCATGCATGTACATGGCAGTAGGGAATTCTCTCAGCCGCTCTAGCATAGCAGGTATACCGATGAAAAGCAAGTTTTCTCAGCCAAATTCTATCTTGCTATACGCGAATATATACTCAGGCGACTCCACCTCTGCAGGGACTAGACCCTAGGGTAGGCAGCATCACCGGGGGGGGTTTGACAAGAACGTCTACAGTATTGACTGTTGATCTAGCAATTTGTGGACAGCAAGAGTATTTCGACGAGAGATTTAGTCTGTCAAATATGACTTGTTTGGTTATTTCGTCCCAACCTTAGTAAAATGCCACATTGCGGCATATACTGCGTTGTGAAACCTCGGAGCATTTGGCTAATAACTTGTTTCGATCTGTACTCTTTGAAGCCGTGATCGGTTTATTCAGGATTCAAATGTAGCAGATATACTATATCAACTGTGATTCATTCGAATATGGCAAAAGAAAAGACAGATACCCTAACATTACATCCGAGTTTGATTGTTTATGCTGTTATCTTTCCTGGCCAGGGTTGCTGAATGCTTAGCCTACTGTGACAATGGAAATCTTGAGAATGTCGGAAACTTACCTGTAGCGCAAGGCTTTCACTGCAGCCCTGTCGTTGGCCTATAAAATCGGGCTTATGGGTATGACCGGTGTCTGGTCCACTTCTGACACTACAGTAGTATGTAGCAGAGCAATGATATCCACTATGTATGTCGTATGAGATCATGAGAACTCAATGTTTTGTAAATCCACGTACACCAGGGGCCGATCTTTCAATTTGATGGGGATGCCTTATCTGTCATATCGCCTCGATGGACTCATATTGGCTACTTGTATTGAATCGAAGATAACAGAATATTGTGATTGGATCTTGGGCTACTTGCATCCATCTGCGTCAGGTGTGTGGAGTTTGACACTAGGAAAGAGATCATATTGAATTTTCTTTCCAAGTGCAGTGTCCGTTGAAGTAAGATTATTATCTCTAGCTCACGGAAGATTGAGTAAGAAGCTTCGGGGCTTGCGACAATCAGCGCTAGATAATGGTATACATACCGGATATGGAAGTATAAGCCCACTTTCACCCTTTTGGACCATAGCGCAGCTACCAAGAGCGGGTGATTGAGTAACGCATATAGGGCCATATGTATATATGTATTTTTCTTTGCATGGTTCTAATCAAGTACCTGGATGCCCGTGTTTCTCATTATTATCCCACTGCTCTTCTGTCTCCATTGAAAATTTAAGCTCGGGGCCAAGATGTTAAGGTTAAACTGATCCATGGATCCAAGGTATCTCGATAAACAGAAAGAGCAACCATGGAACCTCGTGATGTTCTGGAAATGGAAGGCAAAACATCTGATGGTGCCTTCCCCCAAATTGCCCTTAAAAGTTCTTTACGAACATGTAGATGTTCATCTTGTAAACATCCCATATCCAAATGTTTTCCTTAGATGTCCTCGTCTCCGAAGGGGGCATCGAGCTGACTCCCCGAGTAACTTTGCATACTCATATCAAAATGGTCAAAGGGAGAATGTGGATGGTCCCAGGGAGCAAAGCCAAGGCAAGGTTCAGCCAAATCCTCGATTTCAAGGTTTACCCCGGCTAACTGGGAATATCGCAGACCCTTCCCCGGGATCAATTGTAGCTCCTGTTCGACATCCGAGACGGAGATCTACAAGTCTTTCGCGTCGGCTTCGTCATCGATTCTCGAGAGAATCCAGACATTCCGCCGAGCACCGCCCCATCTTCCCTTTCTCTATCAGGCTAAAGCCAAATGTATCGAAGCCAGCTACAGGGTTGTCAATGGTTGAGGATATGGGAAGCAGTCTGATGAGCGCACGAGGATACGACAGTGATGCCCAGTGCATTGGAAGTCCTCAGCATGCGGGCCGTATGAGAGCGTTGCCCAGAAGCCCGGCATCGCGCAGGATAGGGTTGCATGACCTAATAGAGCGCAGTCGTGAGCGAAATGATTTGGAGATGTGGGCGGGAGCTAAGATCCATGATCAATCCAGTACCCCGAGAACTCCCCTTCGGGATGCAGTATATACCAACGCCACCAGGAAGTATGACGGGGCGCTCAGCTCACCCTACCTCTGCAGCCGAAGGCACATGGTAGCCAGTCCATGTCTTCATTCAGAAATGAGCAGTCTGGCGAGCCAAACTTGTCCACGAGATCTCTTCCAAACCTTCATGCCAGTCAAAAAGGGCTGGCTCCAGCAAATGAAGATCATCAACAATCTAGAGAAGGCTTTGTGGGTGGTAGTAGCAGCGGTGAGAACCTCCAGAATCTTGTGGCTCACTGGGCTCAGTACATGGGATCAAATCCCAATGATTATCGTGCGGCACCTTCCGCGTCGCTAGCCAGGAAAGATCCGGGAATCATGGTTTCCAAAACACGACACCTAACAACTTCTAGCTCTCCGGAGACACACCCTGAGACCAGAGTACCGCATCTTGGTGATCTAGATCTTTCGCACAGACTCGCAGGGACAAGCATGGGGTCCGGAGCACCATCAACTAATCCGTCCATGTTGGAACTGCCACGTGCCAACAGGTACGGGCCACAATTGGCATCGCAAGAGAATTTTTATCCATATGAGGGATCTGGGACATCGACACTTGTGGGATCCGAGCCCCAGAAGCAAGCTATGCATCATCAACGAGATGCGTCCTCTTCTACTCACGCCAAAGCAGTAACCCTTCACGAGGGGCATCTGCCGTCCAATCGCTGAGAGTCCACGCTGCAAATGCAATAGAAAACTTACCCAATATCCATGCACAAATGGTTGCGGACACTGCCCCAATTCGAAATGAACTGGAACCAGCTGCCGACGTTGTAAAAAAGCAGGTTTATTGAGCAACTTGAGGCGGCAAACTGGGAATCGCCGCAGCTTCATGGGATTTCCAATGGCGCTCATGTTGCCGGTCCACATCGCAGAGTTAGTCCCGCCTGGATGACTGGGGGCCAGCGAATGGGCTATGGTTATAACTTGGTGGACAATGCCGAGGAACACTCACCAAAAGTCGTAGGGAACAGCAGTCCACTTTCGAAAGGGAATTGGCAAAGAGACACTTCGGAGCCCAGGTCCGGAGGCGCTAATGGACAAGGGCTGAAATCATCGACCGAGCATCAGACCAAGCTGGCATTATTAGCTCAGCCATCTACACCTGACCATGAATCCAATATATCTGACAGCCGACGGTCTCCTATGAGCAAAAGCCCTACCAATACCAAGGGAAACCCCATTTTGACCCCAACGATGTGGGCCCAAATGAAAAGCCATTCAGTTCGAGGCCATTCAGTTCGAGGTAATAGTCACGCACCGCTGGCAGTGGATGTGGCTGGTGAAGGAATGGGTGCAGGGGAAGCCTGCCGTGAAAGCTCGGAACCGCGCGCAACACATTGAGTCGCCAATCTCTGCAAAAACGCCTAGTTCTGCAAAGAGCTTTTATATCGAAGACGTCGACGAAACGCTCTTAAGTCGATGGGCGAAGGCCAGCCGGTCCACACGAAAACCACCACAGCCGGACAAGTACCACGATTCAACCTATGGGCGCAATGCCAGTACTTCAGATGCCTCACCGCTTGGCGAACGTCGCTTCTCGATGGATCAGACTAACAGTCGGCCGTCCGTGTACTTCGATCCGTCGCATAACAAGAGTGCGGACAAATTGAACGGAGAACCTTCTCGCTCTCGCAGTGGACGTTGGATACTAGGTTTTCCAGAAACAGAGAAAGCAAGAGACGTTCGAACCTCCCTCGAAGGGAACCATCTCAGGAATCGCCAGTAGCAGTACGAAGAGCGTCCGTCGAGTGACCTCGGACGAGCAAACTCTACCAGAAGCGATATGGCAGAGGATCTTGCTAGTGCGTATCAGAGCGCATTGGAATGCCTGTGGCGATTTATGGAAGCCGGTGGGCGAGCCGAACGAGTCTGGTGGTGGAGGCGGAGGCAAGAGTGACGAGGGTATAATTGACTGGACACGCATAAAAATACAGTTATCGAGGACTTTGGAGCCAATTTTCCCTTTATTGTTACTCATGGGTTGGAGTTGGTCTGATTATGAGTATGCTTCCCAATCGGTGTCATTAATCATACAGAAATATGGGTAATTAGGCCCCAATACATCTTACACTTCTCACATCCACACAATAAAGGTGTAGTGTTATCCCTAGTAGAGGAGCAAATCATCTATCTCTTCTGCCGCTTGTTACTCTTGTCGCTTGCGCCACTGAGCACACTTGCAGACCGCTTGTGATTACCATCCCCTTCTTGAGCACGGGACTGGTGCGCGCACCATTGCCGTGTGAGGCAGTAGAATGGCCCAAAAGGCCGGTGTCACCGTCTTCAGTTTCCTTTTCACATGGGGGATGTTCGGGGTCAGCAATTTGGCCCCGAGATACCAGCAGCTTCTCGCGATTTTGCGCTCACGCTCCATCTTCGCGGCTTCGAGTACACGGATTTTACTCTAACCTGCTCAGACACTTTGCGAGCATCGAGGAGCATGTTGACAGACTGAATGAGTTTCTCGAAATCCTTGCACTGGTGTTCGGTGGGCATGAACAAGCGCACGGAACTCTCGTACCTTCAGCCAGAGCATTGGCCAGCTTGAAAGTTTGCACCGTTGGACTTGGCCTGTTGAGTCGACGGGCACGATCGCTGCGGAACTGCACACCTGCTGAGACACCCTCGTGGTGCTGGACACCGTACTTTGGCTTCCCTCTGCCGTGGTGAGCGTGCGTACCATCTGACCTGTTTCCTTCGATGTGATAGATCCCTTCTTGTTTCCGGCTTGTGTGACGGGGTCTCGGCTCGGCCTAGGCCACCCGCAGTTTTGGAGTCTGACCAGCAGGACTTGGGGATGGCACCGTCGCCGAGGATGGACCGGCGTTTCTTGCTCTTGTCGGCTTGTGGTAGAAATCTGCAGGAGCTCGGAAAGACCCGCGCTGGACTGATACATCGTGGTGTTGCCGACGCTGATGGGAACCTCGAGGCGAGAGTAGAGTTCTCGGCGTTCGGTGATGAAATTTTGCTCGTTACTTGTGATGCGTTTCAATTCTTCAAGTAGCATTGCTCTCCTCGCGGACCTCATCGGCTGTGCGATTGCTGAGAGCGGCTAGTTCTTTGCGATCACGCTCTCGGTCCGGGTCAAACTTGTGCATCTTCTCACAATTCGAACTCGGCCTCGACATCTCTCAGGGTGGGGCTTTCGCGTGGGAGTGGCAGAGGACGCGAAAAAAATAAGGGAGGTAACACCAAAAAAGTATGTCGGGGGCGGGGGGGCACAAAAGCACTCGAAACCGGCTGTGTGTCCACTTGTGGTGGGTTGTTGTAGAGCTCTGCGACGAGGAACAAGGGCGTGCCGTATCTAGAGACGAGGTCCACTAGTTAGTCCGCTTCCTCGCGCGACCAG